ACTTATCTCCCCATCCACCTCTCCCACACTTTTTCTCTCACATCCCATAGATGTCACGAAGAAAATAAAAGAAATGAAAGCTTTATTCTGTATTTTCTTTCTTCATCCCCTTTCGTGTCAGGAATACCCCCCCAGGTATCAAGAAATCGAGCAAATGTCAAAATGACATTATGGGCTCAGAGAAATGGGTGTTTGCAGAAAAAAGTATTTTAGTAAGTCAGTTATGGGTGAAAAATCCCAACAGGGTGTCTGTGTTTGTTGCAAAACCAAGGCAGAGTAAACAAGGAGGAAGTTGTTTTTTGTTGTAAAACACTGAGACGCTGTAACTGCTGGGGACTTCTGGTTTTAAGAGACTTTTTTCTTATTTTTTGCTCAGAACAATGAAAACAACCCTCTCTTTTATGCTGAAACAAAACCTTTTAATTATTTGAAGCATCTTCTCTGTTCTGAGTTCATATTCTATGACTGCATCAAGCATTTTTCACAAGCCAGCTCTGTCCTTCCAGTGAATGTTCCAGGAAATGTTCATTGTCGGACACTGACAGAGAGGAAGTAATAAGCTTTATATTTTGGAGCATTGTATAATTAAAWCCCTTCCCGTGTGAAGTATGAGTTTAATACGCAGGCTCAATGAGCAGACTGACTGTGGCAGAGAATAGAGAAAGTGTTTTTGTACATTTTAATACAGGCTTCATCTGTAGTTTTTGTTTGACGTGCGTGAGGAAGTGTTTGTATCGGAGACACAGAGAGGTGCGAAGAGTGAAACGAGAACAAAAAGGGAGAGGAAATTATCGATCATTTTGTAACAGCAACGTGACTCCATCAAGGTTGTATCGAACTGTTGTTTACCTGGGCTGGAGCCTTATCCTGGATTGCACTGAATGACATTTAATTTAGTGTAACTGAGCGCTCAGCTTCATCAATGCTTGCACTTTCTTTAAAGCCCGTGTTTCCCTGGGCTCAGGCTCCTGGTGACTGGCAAACAGCGTTCAGGAGGTAGTCTCCAAAACGTCTTGAAATTCTTTCAGGGGKTTTTAATTTCCCCGTGTGAGTCAGAGGCTTGATATTTGAACATAAATCTTGAAAAATTTTCTCTTCAGATAGTAGAATTGTTGTGGGTGTCRTCTTGAATCATCTTCGATTTAGTGTCTTTAATTGTAGAGTGCTRAAATTTGGCTGATACTGTATAAATGCAGCCACACAGCTTGCTAGCCACAGAAACCTACATTCTTGCAAATGACTCAAAACTTTTTAAAATTATAATTATGTTTCAATGTTTATTAATCATGTCTGACTGGAAACAAAAAAGAAATAAGTAGTGATCAAATTCAGTCACATTTTAGTTTCTTAGGTTGCCAAACCTTCCCAAAGCTGTCTGATATTTATCCTTCCTGACKCATGCAGACTACTGTAGTTCAGGTAATTGCCAACTCTAAATTGTCCCCAGGTGTGACTGAGTGTGAATGGTTGTGTCTGAAAAGAAATGGCGGGGGCAGGGTGTTTGGGTAACATTTTAAAATTTGGGGTGGAAGGTGTGGAGTGGTTAAAGAAGTCATCCTGTAACCGGTGGGTTGCCGGTTCGATCCTCCAGCCTTATTAGTCGTCGTGTCCTTGGGCAAGACACTTCACCCACCTTGTCTACTGAGGGTCTGGTGGCCCCATCATACAGATTTTGGAGTAAAATATGCTGCCATCCAAGCTCTGTCGATTTCAGGGATGTCCTGCTTATTTCAGYAAGACAGTAGCTACGTTTACATGGACATAAGTAATCGGATTAAATGGCCATTTGGAATAAAAATGCAACATTTAAACACCCCATTCGGATTATTCTGACCCGATTCAGCTCGATCCGAAGGAATTTGTAATCGGAATGAGAGAGGTGGTTTATGCCGAATGATAATCCGAACGACGTGCATGTAAACACTTAATCTGATCATCTTATTCTGATTGTGGAAAACTGACCTGACTGCTCCTGTCAGCTGACTTTCATCCAGCGGTTTCTGCTCCTTTGCGGAGGGAGGGACAGCAGTGCTGTTTCCAGCAGCACAGAACTTTACCTCCCATTTTCTCCTTCAATTAAGAAGGAAGACACACAGCCTGCGCCGCTTCGCAAAAAAAATAAAATTAAGTCCGCTCGTCACTTGCAGCTGAACCAGGAAGTGCAGTAACGTCTCCACCATTATTAAAACCTGTTGCAGGTCCATTATGAGCTCAGAAGCTGTTTGTTTATGTTCATCACGGAAGTAGAACTTCTTTTTCTGTGTGTTTTTTAGGGTAAGCTAACAGCTGCACATGTCAGTGCTTCTGTTCTGAATAAAAGCTTGGTGCATGTAAACACTCATCATGATCGGATTGTGCCCATGTAAACGATCAAAGAATTTTGCGCATGTAAACATAGCTAATGTCGAGCTACATTCTTCTCGTGTTCAACAGCGTGGCTTCATAGTAAAACACTGTGGGTACTAGACTGGCCCGTCTGCAGTCCAGACCTGTGTGGTTCATTATGAAGCACAAAATACGACAAGGGAGACCCCAGACTGTTGAACAGCTGAAGTTCATCAAGCAGGAATGGAAAACAATTCCACCTTCAAAGCTTCAATTAGTGTCCTCAGTTCCAAACACTTATTGAGTGTTAAAAGAAAAGATGTTGGAACAAAGAGGTAAACAGGACCCTGTTCCAACATTGATTTGACTTGATTGATTTATTGATTTAACAGGAAAAGATTWCTAAAAATCAAGCCTGACTCRGCACAATTGCTGTTTTACAGYAGGTTCCTGTTCTGCAGCACATAAAACACTCAGAAATACAGCATCACAATCACATCATTATTCACCATAGACACAAAGACAAACAAAAGCATACCGAATTTCAGGAAGGCAGCATTTGCAAAATAGGACGTCTAAATATGCGCACAACAAAAAGTGTCCAGCAGATGGCAGACAAGATTCTTCTTAAAGGGCTGCAGTTTTGAAATGGACTTTATGTTTTGAGGAATGTCATTCCATGCTTTAGTATAAACATAGAAGAAAGACCTTTGGCCGTAACAGTTTTTAAAATTCAAAATGAGAGAATCAAAAAGAAAAAAAATTGTCTGAAAAAAGCCTGAATTTTGCCTAAAACTCTCAGACTGAAGAAGTCTCTTGGAGGAGAGACGAAACGTTTTATTAGAGAAGAACCCGTCCAGAAGACCTATACAATTTTTTTCTTTTTGATTTTTTACCTGGATTACTGAGATGCATCAGGACAAAATGAGAGAATGTTTGCAAAACAAAAAAAATAAGTTTATCCATTTGAACATTAAATATCGTGTCTTTGTAGTGGATTCAATTGAACATRGGATTTGCAATTTCTGTTTTTATTTATGATTTACACAATGGTCCAATTGAAATTGTGGATGTAATTGATGACTTCTGTGTCATAAAAGCAGGCTGTTTTTTAATGTTTTGTTAATTGGCTCACCTTTTTTGTTTGTATGGAGTATAATTCAAGGTAAACACATTCTCTTAACATCGGAAAACATTGGTAATTATGAAACATCGTCAGCATTATCTCTTAATGTGTGATGTTGAAACCAAACTGGAAGTGCTCAATTTGATGGATTTAGTAAAAAAACAAAAAAAAATCTGACTTCCTAAAGAGTTTAGCTCAACTAAAAACTGGATTGGAAAAAAAAAGAAGGTTGAAACTTGAATTTTTCAGCTGTAGCTAAACCAAACACAAAAAATAACAAAAAATGAAAGTGTTGTGGAAATATTTATTTAACAAAGACAGAAATAYGTGGTCCAAGAATGAAGGTACTCCGTGGAATGATCAGCTGAGTTTTATTGCAACAACAGGAACACAGAGAACAACATAGAGCCTTTKAACTGTCCCCCTGCTCTCTGTTCCTGTTTCTGCTTCTTTTGAGGCGGTTGAGGCTTCATATATACTGTTTAACAAACACTATTATGTCATCTTAATAAAGCGATATTTCATCCTAAAGAAATGCTGGGTCAAGGGAAAACACAAAGATACTGTAAACACAAGTGAAATCTATGATTGTTGTTAGCAAATCTTGTTCTGACTTTAATCATTCTATCTACTGATAAACAGCATGTCCTGAAAACCTAGGTCATTTATGTCATAAATTACTGGCTTAAACCTAAAAGTATTATTTCCATTACAAAAGTACAACAAATGAACTGGTTAAGTTGTACAACAGCTTTTAAGTTGCTCCTTTTTAACTCCAGAGATAAAAGTTAGCTTTTTGACCTCCTAATCAAAACACACAATTAACTTGATTTTCACAGAACCACACAAGATATAAAACTTCTCATTTTTAATATAATGAACCTGTTATTTTTACCATTTGAAGTAAAGTTCAGAAAAACACAAGAGAAGGGGGCAAATGATTATTTTTTTCTAAAWATGTTCATAGTGCCTATTTTTGCCCGTTACTACTAAAKGCRGATGATAATGTAATTGCAYKTGTGTGTTTATCTGTTAGCAAAATATCTCATAGATGAAACTCCGAGGGTAATAATCACTCACTTTACATCTACAACTGATTCATTTAAGGGTCAWCCTGGCACAACTAACTGAACTTAGCAAACACAAAACCTGCTATAAACCAGACAGTTTTACAAATATTCATTTTTTAAAATCTATTATTCAGTCATTGCATTACCTCATCCAAGTTCTGCAGAAGCCTGWTARTCACCCATTCATTCAAATCAGGTGTGTTGGAGCAGAGACCAGGATTGTTCACCGAGTCTGAGCTCAAATCGCACAGATGAGGGTGGGAAGAGAAACCTTTTTCAGACATTATGTTGCTGTAGATTCTCAGTCATCCAGGACATGGTAAAGCCAAAAATACTTCTATTCTGCAGCTGAAGACAAAGATCTTTTTCAAACCAATGTCCAGTGGACTAATGTGGGCTTTTGAACCCTTCAGATAAAAAAAAATAAATAAAACACTGGGAAAAAAAATTACACATTTTTTTTCTTTTTCCTTTKTTAGTTGGTGACAAAGTGCCGGCTGACATCAGGGTGACCTCGATAAAGTCTACCACCCTACGAGTGGACCAGTCCATCCTTACAGGTACTTCTCACCAGCCAACCTGCATTAAGGCTCTGAGTGTGTGACACTTTCTCTTCTTGCAAATTGAATTTATATTATCTTATTATTTGGAGTTAGGAGTTGTCTATTTTCTGACTGCAACAGTGTTTGTTTCACAATTTGACCTAATGATTACATGGTATCCTCAGAAATCCAATGCTAAAAATGTTCTTTGTGTTCTGTAGGAGAGTCTGTGTCTGTCATCAAACACACCGACCCTGTTCCTGACCCGAGAGCTGTCAACCAGGACAAAAAGAACATGCTGTTCTCTGTGAGTGTCTCCACCTGCATCTTCTCATGTCAAAACCAACATTTGATCATGTAGTTGAATGTTGGTACTGCTGGTTAGCTGTACACAACAATCACAATTCGGTCATGGTTCATTGTTTTTGATCGGGGGAAAAAAATTGTTTTATTGTGGCTTCAACTTCTGCTCTGTGGACCTGTGTCTAAAACAAGGGTGTCAGAGTTACACAAGGRGGCCGAAMTTTAAAACTTGGTCCAAGCCAWGGGCCAATGTTTTTCATTGTTTATTGAAAGTGTTATATAAAATATTATTCTTGTATAAATACAACCAAATTTTCTAAATATTTTATGTAGCGTTTAGGACATAATAAACCTAACAAAGAAAAAGATGCACATCTTTAGCATTCATTTCTTATGCCTCATTTCCTACAAACGAGTTTCTGACTTATTATTTCTTAGAGATGTATTTTATCACAATCCAGCAAATTGATTAAAAAAATCAAACTTTCATAAAAAATCCAAATATTTTACTTTAAAATAGGAAGAGAAAACAGAAAAAGATCATTTGAGTTAAAGTTTTGATTGATTGATGATGCCTTTATTGTCATTGTACAGAGCACAATTAAATTACATTTAAGGAGACACACGATAAAAATATGGGGGAAACAGGTGATCAGGTCATGCAGCAACCAGCAGGGTTTGGGCTACCTTTTTCACATCAAAATTAAATATTACTTAAATAACATTTTTTTTTTGGATTGAAAGTTGTTCAGCTGTCATGAAAATAATGCATTAAATGCATAGACAAAAAGTGAAACCATAAAACAATTAAACATTTAAAATGTTACCTTTGGGGCCAGATAAAATGTCAACCAAGTCCAGATTAAATGAAAATAATTTGTTAATGGAATATTTTCAATATAATTATTGCAACAATAAAAATACAATTATAATAAGTGAATAAAATTATCATAGTTATTAAGTTTGCTTACATTGTTATAATGCCCATGTTTAACAGAGTTGTTAGTACAGTTTGCAAACATTAACCAGTAATAACTGGGGGCACAAGTTTCTGCTGATGTTATTTTGTGGGCCAGAGCCTAAAAAGTTTGAAAAGTCAGCGTTCCCTATRCCAGTGGTTCCCAACCTTTTTAGACTTGTGTACCCCCTGAGCCATTTTGTCATACCACTAGTACCCGTTCCGTCAAACGTAATGATTATTCTCCAAACCTATAATGTACTACAACTGATAATTAAATGAAAATTATTTATYTAACCCCCTTAATGTAAACATTTAATTCTTGGGTATTTTATTCTTTTCAACTTAAATTAAACATAAAAATAAAAATGTTGCCTTGAAAGTCAATAAGTAAATAAATAAATAAACCAGGTAATGGCAGATGCAGAAAACAGCAGCGTCCAAAGTACATCAGAAACTCACCCAAATGAGCAAGTTCCATGAAATTCCGCATTTTATACTGGATTGCATTTTTTTTGTCAATTCCACAATTCCGTCTGCATTTTCTGCATTGCAGGAATCATAGGGACCTACATATCCCAGTCCTGTGAAATTTTCCCACATACCCCCTGTAATATGCTTGCATACCCCAAGGGAAACACGTACCCCTGGTTGGGAATCACTGCTCTATGCAATCTTTTTTTAATTGGTTTTTGGCAAGTTAGCCTAATGTTGCATGTTGCACCTACTGGGTTGGAGTCTGAAACAAAGCAACAAAATACTCAAACATTTTGCAGCTGTTTGTGTAAAACAACATTGTGTTCATATGGAACACAATCACACGGACCCTAAAGGCTCACAGTGGAAGTTTTCAGGATGATTGAATCACGCTTCTACTTCTCAGAATCACATTCACTTTTTAAAGTCATTGTGTAGATTTCTGATTTATTAATCTAAAAGTAAAGTTTCATTTCATTTGCCTGTGCTTAGTTTTTCTTACGTTGTTCTCAGGGCACCAACATTGCTGCGGGTCGCGCCATCGGAATCGTCGTCGCGACCGGCGTCAACACGGAGATCGGGAAGATCCGCAACCAGATGGCATCCACAGAGCAAGAAAAGACGCCTCTGCAGCAGAAGCTGGACGAGTTCGGCCAGCAGCTCTCAAAGGTCATCTCCTTGATCTGCGTGGCCGTGTGGGTCATCAACATCGGCCACTTCGGAGACCCGGTCCACGGTGGCTCCTGGGTCAGAGGGGCCATCTATTATTTTAAGATTGCTGTTGCCCTGGCTGTGGCTGCCATCCCGGAGGGCCTGCCTGCCGTCATCACCACCTGCCTCGCCCTTGGCACGCGACGCATGGCCAAGAAGAACGCCATCGTCCGCAGCCTGCCTTCGGTGGAAACGCTGGGCTGCACATCTGTTATCTGCTCTGACAAGACTGGAACACTCACCACCAACCAGATGTCCGTCTGCAGGGTACGGTTTGATCAAGGGTTAACTTCTAATCTTATCTGGTCAAATAGCGTTTATCTACCAAAGCTACTATAAATGCTAACATAAACCTGACAGGACTGACACTTGCAGAAATGCCTCAGGGAATGTACCCATAAAATTGGTCTTCAAACTCTGATTGGCATTTCTGATACCTCAAGTCAGCCTTAGTTTTCTATTTTTCCAGGTGTTTAGTGGATTTTCCAGCCTTTCAGCACTTGAAAAAGCTCTTTGTTGTTGTAGTGTTTATCTCCACTCACCAGGTTTGCGATAGCAGCCGGTGGAATAATGCAAACAGGCAAGACCGACCAGTGCCCGGGCTACTAAAATACTCCATATCACCAAATCAGCTGGCACACAGGAGCAATAGAAGTTTCTGAAATGTCACATTGCCTGAACAAACAGAAGGCGAAAATGGTCCTCGACTGGTCTGTGGGTTTCATTGAATAAGTTGTGCATACAGAATCACGTTGGACAACACACACTGAAAGATCTTCTCCACAGATATTCATAAGTCACACATGGCCTCGCCCTTTCCTTTGTCTCTGTGTTTGTGTGTGTTGCTCGCTAAATGACTTCGCTCTAAGCGCAGAGTAAATGTCAGCGCTGCTGTTTGTCTTGGCTCGCGTTAAGGCCTCTGCACACACCGCAGTCTCAGTTAACACCTCGTGTGCTTCGACCTGCAGCTCATCTCTCACCTCAGCAACACGAGAGTCAGCGGCTCGTTTGAGTCGGTCAGAATCACAGCAGCCACGTTATCTCTCTCTATTGTCAAATGACCTATTAGACAAATTTCATTAAATTTGCAAAAAATAATCATTTAATCAACAACTATAAATGATTAGTGTTTTGAGTCTTTCCCACTCAAGATGGCCATCACTAATAAGACTTTATTCAGCTCAAAAAATGTCTAACTTATAGGGGACATATGTAAAATCCACTTTTTTTAGCTGTTAAATGCGTTTTGTTGTGGACTTTAAGTTTGATTTAGTTTCTCCTGGTGCTGCAAAGTTGCCTTATGTTGTGTTTGGTTGATATTTTTCAACCTGTTCAGTTTTCTGTATTTTCTATGACATTTTCTGAACTATTACGTCAAATAATCTGGTAATTACCTTATAAGGTCTGGACTTACCAACTGCAATTTCCTTGTCTTAATTCTCCTCTGGTTCTGGGTCGATCTCTGGTTCTGGGTCAGACTCATGAAAGGCTGGATGGACAAGTCTTATGTTGTTGACATCTTTTAATTAAATTGTAAATAAAACATTTCTGCATCACTAGCAAAGGTAACCGATTCTCTCTAATAGGAGTGGACCGGTCTGGAAGCAGGAGGGGGGGGCGGAGCTTGAAGCTCCTTCTTGTTGTTTTGATGCACACACCAGAAAAGTGGTGAAAGAGGGGAGAAATTCAAACCAAAGCATTGTAGCTCCACTTTATAAAAACTGAATGATTTAAATGTGAAAAGGAAGTGTTTAAACACATGATATGTCTACTTAAATATCTGTAACAAAACATAACTGTGATAGAACATGGTCTGATATGGTAAATGGACTGAACTCATACAGCGCTTTTTCAAGTCCTTACAGACYCCAAAGCTCTTTATTTTTACAGCTATTCACACATTCATACACACATTCACACACTGATAGTGGTAAGCTACATTGTAGCCACAGCAGCCCTGCTGAACACTGACATGCGGGGCTCCCATGCACCAGCACTACCAGACCTTCTGACCATCACCGGTTGGTAGAAGTGGAGCAAAAAATTCCGTGAGAAATACTAATTCCTTTGTGGAATGTTTTAAGTTTATTAGTTTTTTGTTTTATTTATTGAGAGTACTTAATAATCTAAAATCCAACTGTGACCAATCTCATCAAATCAGAGGTTAAGTCAGATTTGTTCAAACAAAACTAATCACATTTTTAAATTCTTGACTTTTTAAGCTACATTTTGATTCATCATTATCCTGACATTATGAGCAGTTCCAGAATGAAGCAAAAAAAATTGGGGTGTTTGTTTGCTCAAAAATCCTTGTTAGTTGTTGGTTCAGCTCAGAAAAGTGTTTTTGAACATTCTTTAAGATTGTATTTCAAACCTTTGCTTTAAGGGACTCATAGCTGAGCTATCATATATCATATCATCATATTCTGACAATTATTACAGCTTTTATACCAATGCATTATAGCTACTTGTTACCTCACTACGCTACACTGAATCCTCAATTCAATGTGACGGATCACATCTTCCTCTGTTTTAGAATTCAAAGCAAATAAGCTGGGGTGTACAGATGGTCCTGCAGGAAACAAATGACTCTGAATGACTCAAAATTTGAATTATCTACAATGTAAATATGACCCCCAAAATTCACTCATCTCGTCCTGTGAACATTGGCGGCAAGAGATAATTCTTGAAAGCTCCTTTTTGTTGTTTGTAGTCAGAGCTGCTGGTCTGCATCCTCTGTTCATCTGAAGGTTTGCTGTACAAATACTTGCACTTTATTTCCTCCCAAGATGACGTGGAGTATCTGTGGGGATTATTGTGTAGCTGCAGGGAGTTCCCTGCAGCGGGAACAACCCTGAAAGCCTCTCAGCTAGAAAAAAGAGCAGACCATCACCGGCAAATATTAATTTTCTTCTCCCTCCTGTTCTCTCTGGCGGGCAAAACACGTTAATTTCACAAAAAATAATTAAACATCCGTTTTATGTTTTCATTATCAGCATGGTGTTTCCTGAAGATAAGATAATTTAACTTTTCCTTCATCTGGTTTTATTCGATTATTGCTGTGATGCTCGTCTGTTTCTGTGTAGACTGGTCTGCAGCCAGCGGTCCTGAAAGAACCATAAGGGGTATCCCCATATTGTTGGGATTTCCAGGGATTCCCCTCGTGATCCAAACACCATACTTCCCTTTTCCCTTCACTCTCCTACACATACACACATGCTCTGCAGATCCCGTAAAAAGGGTTACTCACCATGAATCCCCACATAACCTCAGAGGAAGCAAGTGGGGAGAAAAAACTCTTTTGTCAGAACCACTGAGTCACAAAGATCACACTGTGCCTGGTTTCCCTGGAGATCTCAGGGACTCAGATCATGAGAGGAAAACACACACAGGTACTGAATCTTGAAAAAAAAAATTCAAACCCGTTGAAGTTTTCCACGTTTTTCCACATTTTTCATGTTACAAATGCAAACTAAACAGTATTTTACTGGGATTTTATGTAACAGACCCAACACAAAATAGTGCATTACTGTGAAGTGGAAGGAAAATTATCCATGGTTTTACACATATTTTACAAATAATTATCTGCATTCATCTCTCTGATATCCAAAACTAAGATTCCATTCAACTGATGTCTGCTGTCACCTGGTCAACACAACCCCCTCTTCCAAAAACGAAAAGGCTAATCTTAGACACCTGAGCAAATTTAATCATCTCCTGCTGTACTTTTTTCCCAACTTTATTTGTCAAAACATCATTTACAAGGAGATAATCTGAAAACAATATGTCAATTATGTGCAAATACAGATCGTGGAACAGTATGGATTACAGAACAGTAAATGATGACAAAATATTAAGAAAGAAACTAAATTAAAAAAAATTATAAAAACAAAACAAACAGGGGTTTATGTTTCCAAAAATACATTTAACATAGTACAGATTTCAATTGTTTTAACAGCAAGATTATTGTCAGAGTTTTTGATTGAGTATAATATTAAACTTCATTGCAAAAAGCAGTAAAACAAGGTTTCCTTTCAAAATATTTGGAACAGGGAATATAACATTTAGCTAGAACAAGTAACAGATTAAAAAGAAATTCTGGTCCTCTTCTGTACTGACAGTGGCTAATCAAAACATTTTAGCTATTTCACCCAACTGTAGAAGTAATATTTTATCTAGGCACTGTGAAATAATAGTAGTTTTTTCCTTATGTTTCATTTTAGGCCTCTGTAACCATTTTTGATGGCTTCCTTTAGTAAATTAGAGTGTATAAAACCTTAGAAACCTAACAAAATATTGTGTATTTTAAAGTTTGATACATTCACTAACACTGCATTTTTTTGTTTGTTGTTCTTTTAAGAGCCATAAAAATACCAAAAGACGTGTCTGATTACAAATTCATCCATGTTAAAAGCAGTTTGAAGTCTGTTCGATCCAGCCACACTTGTTTTTACTTCTTTGAATTCAGGAAACACCATTTGTGCAGTTATGTCACTAAAACACAAAGTATATTTGTTTATGAAACGGTCACATAGAAAACACTAAAATTCTACATTATTTAGTAATGTAAACCTGTTTCTATCATTTTTGGATGAGTAGTTTTTCTCACATCAACAAGGAAAATGATAAATGCTGAGTTTGGAGGTGTGAAGTCTCATTAGCAGCTCGTAGTCTGACTACTTCTGCCAACTGCAATTCGTCGACTGGCTGTCACGGCAGTTAAAATAAATTTATTGCTTTATACTGGATCTTTAACTCCCTGACAACATATTTGTAGAGTATCTTTAATTTGGAATATCAAGAATTCCCCAATGTTTTTTACTGAGCTGTATTTTTTTTTAACTTTTTGCTGGGACAACTCCTGTGGGGTGACAGACTGGGGTGGTGGTTTCCATTTTTAAAAAGGGGACCGGAGAGTGTGCTCTAACTATCGTGGATCACACTTCTTGCCCTCCCTGGGAAAGATTACTCCAGGGTGTTGGAAGGGAAGCTCTGATCATTGTCGAACCTCGGATTCAAGAGGAGCAGTGTGGCTTTCTTCCTGGGTGTGGAAGAGTGGACCAGATCTTTACCCTTGCAGAGTTGCTAAGGGTGTCATGAGAGTTTGCCTCTCTCTGGTCTACATGTGTTTTGTGGACTTGGAGAAGGCTTATGACCACGCTCCTCGGGGAATTCTGTGGGGGGTGCTGCGGGAGTATGGAGTGTCTGGGTTGCTACTAAGAGCGATCCAGTCCCTGTATAACCAAAGCAGGAGCTGTGTTCACATTCTTGACACAAAGTCGAGCTTGTTCTCAGTGCGTGTTGGACTCCAGGGCTGTCCCTTGTCTCCAATCCTGTTTTTAGTGTTTATGGACAGGATCTCAAGGCGCAGTCGTGGAGAGGAGGGGTCTGGTTTGGGAACCACAGGGTCTCGTATGATGTGGTTCTGTTGGCGTCTTCAGTCCAAGACCTTCAGCATGTGCTGGGGCGGTTTGCAGCCAAGTGTGAAGCAGCTGGGATGAGAGTCAGTTCCTCCAAGTCTGAGGCCATGGTTCTCGACGGAAAAGGGTGGAATGCCCCCTCCGGGTCAGGGGGGAGTCTCTTCCTCAAGTAGAGGAGTTTAAGTATCTGGGGGTCTTGTTCACCAGTGATGGTAGGATGGAGCGGGAGATGGATCGATGGATTAGGGCCTCATCCTCAGTAATGAGAGTGTTGCTTTGGTCAGTCGTGGTGAAGAAGGAGCTGAGTCGAAAGGCAAAGCTCTCGATTTACTGGTCTGTCTTCGTTCCACCCCTCACCTGTGGTCATGAGGCGTGGATCATGACCGGAAGAACGAGATCCCGGATACAGGCGGCCGATATGATCTTCCTTCATAGGGTGGCCAGGCTCAGCCTTAGAGATAGGGGGAGGAGCTCCGTCATCCAGGGGGAGCTTGGAGTAGAGCCACTGCTCCTCCACATCGAAAAGAGTCAGTTGAGGTGGTTCATCTGATTAGGATGCCTCCTGGACGCCTCCCTTTAGAGGTGTTTCGGGCACGTCCATGGGAGGAGGCCCCGGGGAAGACCCAGGACTCGCTGGAGGGATTACATATCCTCTCTGGCCTGGGAACGCCTCGAGGACAAGCTGGAAAGTGTCGCTGGGGAGAGGAGGTCTGGGTTTCTCTCCTGGACCTGTTGCATCTGCGACCCGACTACAGATAAGCGGAAGAAGATGGATGGATGGCTGTATTTTTTAAATGGTTTTTACATATTACATTAAACAGGTGAGGTAAAAATAGCTGTTGTGAGGTTCAGATCTCATTAATTTTGACAGATTAAGAGCAAAGGAACATACCCGCTCATGTACATATACATAATTGTACACACAGGAAAACAAACAAAACACACATGGGGAGGAAAAGAGAGAGAGAGAAAATAAAGCAGACACACAAATTGATCAATCAGCATCAAGACCTGTTTTTCTTACCAGATGACAAGTCTTCTTTCCACATCAAGTTGAATATCATTTTGGACTAAAAAAGTATAAATTATGCCCCAGATTACCCAAAATTTATCAAGCTTGTCTATAATAAAACAGCTGATCTTTGCAATGAAAAGTAAAATGTCATCTTTTTAATCCATCTCAAAATTCCACATAATGTATCTTTCTTCCACGATGATGCAATACAGCGTTTAGCATCCAAAAAGCAGACATTAATTAGTGATCTTAGATTGTTTGAGAAAGTCTTCAGGATAGATATTCAAGATACACATTTTAGGTACATTTGTACGGAGCAATAACGCAGGTGAGGGTAGGAATGTAAACCGAAAGTTTTGCTTTGCATCTTAGCTTCTTCACCTCCACAGACCTGATCAGATAATCACCCAGTATACAGCATTGGATTTCCCGTATAGCTGATGTTTCTGACTTTAAATAATCAGTAGAGGCATCTTATTAAAATAGGTGTTATTTAAATGAGGTGTGTTTGGATAGTATTGTACAACACCAGGCACTCCATCACCTTCTTGTTTTGTTTTCATTTGTATTTCTAGTGGATTGCCCTGAGGTAGGGATGTGGGTTGCATGCAAAAATATTTGAATATAAAGCTAGTCGTTCTAAGGCTCTGGGACTCTTGTGAGCAGCATGTTTAACACTGAGTGTTTGTTCAGTCCCATGGTGCTTTTGTTCAGCAAAAGTAAAAACAGAATCAAATACATTTTGGGAACATATTCATTTCAAACTGGTGAAACTATTTAATACAAGTTGCTATGTTTTAAAGGTACAAAACAAAACAAAAATATTGTACTACAGTTTTATGCACTGTTGTAGGATTTTTTTAGTTTTCAGGTTTTTCAGGGACATCAGCTGGTCCTGCGTAAATATCTATATTCTGTTTGGGTAACATTTTTCAACCAGTTTTCTCTTTTTTTCATGACATTTTCTGAACTATTACATCACAGTATTTGCTGCAAAACTGCAAAAGAAGGTTATGAACCTGTGGCTAACCAGTTCTGCAAATTCAGATCAAAGCATTGCGGTTCCATTTCTATAGAATGCAATGAATGATTTGAAAAGGAAGGATTTAAAAGCATTTAAAATATTTAGCTCTGTGTAACTCTGAAATATAGAAGGAAATATAACTTTAAAAATATAGCCTACAATATTTTTAATGCACCTTTTGTGCCACTTTTCAATTAAAAAATTGTTTTTTCTTGCATTTAACTTTATTAACCTGAAGGGGAACACTTTACAATAGTACTTATATTCAAACTGAAAATCTCTTAATTCCATTTTGTAAGTCATCGAAATAAAAACAATCAATTTTTGACACTTCTTAGAACCTGTTGTAAAAAGCTTTCTGCAGCAGCAGCACCAGAGAATCCAGCTCTGCTCTAATTCCTAATTAACAAACTCATCTGCTCCCCATGTGYCTGCTTTTYYTTCTCTCACAGATGTTCGTTGCAGATAAAGCTGAGGAGTCCAGCTGCACCCTGCACGAGTTCTCAATAACTGGTTCTACGTACGCTCCTGAGGGACAAATGTGAGTGTTGCACGTTTTTATACTTTCTGTTGGGAACACGTAATGTCTGTCTTCATTAATAACTCTTTGGACCATCTAGAAAAAAATAAAAACAGTTCTTCTGCACTAAATGAAGAGTTTGACTTTTTCTCTTTTTCTGTTGTCATATCACAACCCAAGACTTGGCATTCTTTTAGTTTTAAAGAGAACATCAACACAATGGGTTTTAACTTTGATGATATTATTTTCCGCTGTGATGAAGTCTTGTTTTTGGTGAGTATTTGTGGAGGTGTGCAGGTAGGTGGCCTGTCCATTCAACAGTAGGAGGATTTCAGCGGGTCGTTTGTGTATGCGTGCTGTTTATTCCACTGTTTCAGTGAGTCCAGCATCCTGACTCGGCGTGTCCCTGTCAGTTTCATAACAGCGCAGTGTGGGTTTCTGTGTGGGAGCCTCGCTAGCAGCGGTCTCTACAGGGAACAGACCCGCGGTTGTCATGCTGACGGGACGACTTGCACGTGTGCAGCCGCTCTGTGTTTACTACTACACAGCCAGCTCTGCGGGGCTGCACAGCTGAATGTCAGCTGAAGTTTTCACGAGGCCACTGTGTGTGAGATGAAGTGAGTTTGTCTGATGACACCTGTACTTTTTTTTTTCTTTCCCAGACTTAAAGGCACGAAGCCCATCCAGTGTGGAGACTTTGATGGACTTCTGGAGTTGGCCACCGTGTGCTCGATGTGCAACGACTCCTCTCTGGATTACAACGAGGTCACAATAGTTTTTCAGATTGCAGTGTAAAACAGTCAGGCACACGTCGTTGTGCAATGAGATTTTTAAAGTAGGGAATTAGATATTAATCTGGATAAATATAGAAAACCGTTGTTTCTCCATTCTCTTTCTGTGTGTGAACTTTTGGTCGTTGGTTTTTCATTTTAAAAACAGATACTGGAAAAACAAATAGTTATTCTTTTTTTTATACTCCAAAAATGGGAAAATGGTTCTTCTTTTTAGTTTTTTCAAACCAGAAGTTTAACAGTCATGGCAACTCAACGCTGTCCTGTAGAACCTGCTGCGGCTTCAAGTTCCTCCCCGTGGACCTCTTGGAGAAGCAGCAAAAATCAGCTGACACTTGGTAAAGAAATGACAAATTAGTTAGCATTTTTTATTCCTTTTGCCTGGTTAGCTAGTTATAAGGTAAAACATGTTTATTTATCTCATTATCAGACTATTTAAGGTGGAGCTAGATAATTTTTAATTTTTTTTTCTTAGCTAGCATTTAATTATTTATAGGCAGCCGCCTTTTATTAAAGGTTACATAACTAGCTCCACCTTAAAAGGTCTGATAATGGTTTTAAACTTTATGTATTAGAAAAATAAAATGACAAACCTGCTTTCCCATTTTTGGAGTWTAAAATGAAAGTAGAATAACCATCCACCTTTTTTTTWAMAGTTGCCAAACTGAGCTGGAAATTTCTCACATTGACTCTTGTACAAACAAAACCAGATGTTTACATGCACTAAACAAGATACATAATTATTCTCAGAGACATTAAATGAGACTAAACCTCAGTTAGGATTCCTAAAATTAGTTTTTATTTGTTAAATGCCCAAATAATGATCTTTGATTACTKTCTTTATAGATATTTTCTTAGTGGCATTGCCTTTTAACTGTATGACTTAGTTCAGATGATGAGTTTCCTTCCACAAACTTTTCTCAGTAGTTTTTTGGATCTTTGCTCAATTACCTCTGACAGAAGTCACTTTTCACAAATTTACTAGGAGACTGAGATCAGCCACTTTAAAATTAGATTTTGTTGTCCTGTAGTCACTTTGTGACCAACAGTATGCTTCAGGTCCGTTTGTGAAACCCATTTGAGACCAAGCTTTAAGTTCCTGCCTGATTTGAGATGTTGCTTCATTATTTCCACACCGCGTTTGCTCCTCACGATGCCATCTATTCTGTGAAGTTTATCCTTCCTGCAGCAAAACACCCCACTGCATGATACTGCCACTCCCATACTTCACAGTTGAGATGTTGGTCTCAGGCTTGAACGCTTTCCATTTTTTACTTCTTTCTTTTAGCGTTGGCAGAGTACTAAAGACCCTGGAAAATCACAGGGTTTATGTTGGAGCATTCACTAATTGTTTAAAAAACTAAAAAAACAAGCTAATTTTAGATGTGGTCAAAAGAAAAAAGAAACATCAGCCATCTATTGATAAGTATATTTGCACATRTAAGGAATTAGCTTTGGGATCCGGGTGCTACACAAACATTTCTAATTGCAGTTTAAATAAATCCCCATGGACAAGAATAAGTAAAGAGTCCGGGTTTGTCCGCTCCTCTCACAGGATCTGGTCGGAGTGTGAGTCGTGCGCTCTGCACACCAGTGTTTGGAGGAACGCTGACCAGAATGAAGCGAACAGTGGAGCAGCGGCGTTGCAGGATCGCTGTCCCATCAGCACACCAGCCGTGTTGATAAGACAGATTCCTCCACGTTGTCTGACGGCTCCGAGGAGCTGCAGAGTCCAGCTCACGCAGCCACACCCCGAAACACAAAACAAATAAAGAAAAGTCTGTTTTCCCCACCGGTAGCTTGAGCTCGTCCATTTTGTTGCTCGGTTGTGGACACGTTTGAAAGAAATCTCCCAGCTAGCTGTAAAGAATGAAGGTGTGAGATGAAGATAATGACCGTTCAGCAAATCAGAATCATTTATTGTCATTCACACAACATCAAGATGCAGTGCAGAGTGAAATTTGCAGTTTAGAGCATCCGTCCGGAGAAACACACACATGACAAACATGGGGGGAACAAATGTCCAGGGTCTTTCGCAACTTAGTGCGCTACGTTTGCAGTTTAGAATACACACACACATAGGAAGGGTGAGTTAAAAAAGAGCTTTGATCCTGTGTTTTATACAGAAAACACACAAGCATACGCTCAAAAAAACTACTCTGTGACAGTGCAGTTAGCTAAGGAGGGGAGGGGGTGGGGGGTCAAAAAGCAGAGGATTTACAGCTTCTCTGGTGAAAAATTAAACATTACCACAAAAACAAAATGAAACTGCAGAGGACATTTGCAGTTTCTGTGAAATATCTTACGGAAACGTATCTGTTTCTATAAACAACTTTTAGAAAACATCTATCTGCAAATGACTCAGAACWAATGGAGGTTCACCAAAACAGAAATCAAAATAAGTGTATTTTAGGAATCCTGGCTGACTGAAAATAGAAAAGGTCTCATCTGATTTGTCAGTCAGGTGAAAATGTTTGTGTTTTTTTACAGTGTGTAAATATTGGGGACATTATGAGGGAAATCTGTGATCACAGCACTTTGTGGTGAATTMTTTTCCAGTAAGAAGACACAAACTATAATAAGATTTGCTTACACTCRGCCTCCGCTCCCTCAGCCGAGCTAATTTTACTCATGTATTAACTCCTCTCTCTCGGATTGCTTTTCTCACCTTTTTGTCGTTGCCATGTTATCATGGTAACCACGCTGAGCAGAGAGGCCAGGAATAAAGCAGTTCTCAGCCTTCTTGTGTCCTCGAGAAGATTTCACATTTCACAAATAGCTGCTTTGCCTCACTTAATAAGAGGAGAGAGTAGAGTCTGGAACGGGTGGTCCTCGAGCRCTGCTATCCTGCATGTTTTACTTGATTTCTGCTCCATCACGCGATTTAAATGAATGAGTGATCACACAAACAAAGCAATGTGTGCAGCACCGTCRACCCAGACTCGACCCCCTCTGTGTGACTCGGGGTTCAGTGTTTGTCCCAAGGGTTCATCGTGTTTCAGACACAACGAAAATAAGAGCAAATATTTTACCAGCCTGTCGAAACGACCATGTCTTGTCTTCCAGGCTAAAGGGGTCTACGAGAAGGTGGGGGAGGCCACAGAAACGGCTCTCACCACCCTGGTGGAGAAGATGAACGTCTTTAAGACTGACTTGTCAGGACTCACGAAGGTGGAACGTGCCGGGGCTTGCAACTCGGTGAGCACATAAAGATTTTCATTTGACTGCTGTTGAAAGGCCATGGTGGGAGATAAAGGTTTAGTGTGTGTGTTCATCAAATTTGGGTTGGATTATATAAAATAATAATTTGTTTCCTTTTTTAACCAGGTATTTTATTTGAACTGTAGAGGAATTAGAAAAAAATGGCAGTTTTATATTAGCAATCATTGTAATTTTGACCCAAATCTAATCAGACTRAGTACTACCCTGATGGAGTTACTGTGCTTATTTATAAGTAAATACTGTATACAGTGATTGCATTCAGGAGATATCGTGCACACAAGACCACCTGYGATGGACGGACACTGCACTAACACACAGCCAGAGAACAGTAGGCCTCCAGCTTCAGTGGGCGGAGCCATAAGGATTGGAAGTCGATGACAGGTCCTAATAAGGATAGGTGGTTGTTAATGGTGGTCAGGGCCATGYCTCAAAATACTCAGGCTACAGATTTGAACCCAGGTTTCGTCTRGTAGGGCATCCGGCATGAATTGCCAAATCCCTGAASAAGGRAGCAGCTGAAGAAAAACAAAACGGAAAACAAACTCTGTTAGCAAAATATCTCATGAGTCACTGAGCGAATTGCAATGAAATTTGCAAAAAGTAACCACTGGCTGTGCATCTTTCTCACCCTAAAAAGCACAAATGTTTCTAATTCTGTTTATTTTAGATGCTGTGCTTTCATTTGTTATRGTGGAGGCTTGAGAGTGATCCATAATAATCCAAATACTATGGATTGCACTCTTGKAGTCAACTCTTTCTGTTARCGAAACATTTCACRAAATGCTGAACAGATTTTAATAAAACATGTGGGAAAGAATCATCAGATGGACATCTGCAACTGTTTCAAGATGGCTGCCATGGCTAATTGACCTTAGTAAACAGAAAATAGGCTACAAACAAAAATTYGATGTGGTTGTAGCTGAGAGTCATTCTCAACATCTCATTAAAGGTTTGATTAAAACTCACATTTSTCAACATGAGATGGTTTTCGTCAATGACTCTAGCTTTAGACATGTATTTTTGAAAGCTTTATGATTTATTGCTGCCAGTTGATCAACAGTGACATTAAATTATTGCCAATAATTACAAAGTCAAACACCTCAGGAATTTAATTTCCCACTCATCAAGTTGAAGGAGTTGTTTTTACCCTAAAGGCGGCAGGAATTTCACACAGAGAATAAACCCTCATATGTTCWGTTTTATATGACAGAACATATCATAAGAGCACTTCTTAGCTGTAAAGACACCAGACTTCCCTGCTGCTGTAACTGAGTGTTAGAGAGGAAAAAAAAAAACATCTCTGCAGCAAAAAGCTCATTTTCTCTGAGACTGAGCTGAGAGGGAGTCCAGCCTGAGGATGAGACGAGGGACTGATGAGCTGTGGTTGCAGTGATGAAACTTTTCACTGATTCAACTGAGTCAGTACAGGCCAATRAAACTCCCAGCACTCACTTCAGGGATGATGAAGATGATGACGATTTTTGATGAGAAGAGCCTTGTTCTGAGTGAAGTCAGGAGGATAAAGAATAACATGCATTTATATATAAATATATATATTTTTGCTGGTTATAAATAGCCATAAAACTGATGGAAACTGGAAAAAATTGTGCTGAAACAAACCTTTTCTGTTTTCTAGAGCAGAGTTTTGTCAGTGGCAGATTTGAGACCATCTTTAAGGTGTTTGAAGTCCTGACAGATTGTGAGCTCACCACCTGCAGTTATCTAGTTGTGCCATCGGTGTTAACCTCCTATACTCCCCGTGTGTGTGTGTGTGTGTGTGTGTGTGTCATCAGCACAAAATCTGAACTTGAAGGACCCCTGCTGGTAGAAACAGAGGCAGCGTTCCTCTTGAAGAGAATGGAGCGTGTTTTAGCTTTGCAGTGAGCCAGCTGATTTGTGTCTTTGTTTTTCATCTTTCCTGCTGATTTTATCTGTTTTAAATTTTCCTCCGCCAAGTCGTGAAATGCAGCTGTTKCCATGGCAGCAGCCAGAYGTTAAAACGAGATGGTTTAGTGTCWGATCTAAAGTGTCGTTCTTCAGCCGTCACCAGATCGGATCAACAGTTCTGTCTCCCATCAGCTGCCTGCCAAGGCTCAAACAGCTACTCTCTTCATACTTTGGTTCTATTATTATTAATAATAATAATATTTTTTTTGTTGTTTTTATCCATCAGGTGATCAGGCAGCTGATGAAGAAGGAGTTCACGTTGGAGTTTTCTCGTGATCGCAAGTCCATGTCAGTTTACTGCACCCCCGTCAAACCTGGTTCTCCCAGCAAGATGTTCATCAAGGTATGGCTGCAAACTTTTTATTTTTATTTTTTAACTTGCCACATTTTGATTTGCTTTAGAATGATTTTAAACTGGATGTTTTTATTCCTGATCAGTTTGTGATTCTTCACAGTGATAAAACAAAAGTGTCCTTTCACTTTGTGCTAGGTAAAACATTTTGGACAAAATGAGAACGTTTGTTCAGCTGTTTTATTTTAAAGAGAAATTAATGGAGACGTGTAACTAAATTATTTAATTAATCAGCTCTACTTAAAACCAGACCAAGTCATTGTTTTGCAAGTCTCAAGTCAAAACAGGCATCTGTCAAGTCAAGTCCCAAGTCTGAAACTTGGAATTTCAAGTACTTCCGAGTSTTTTTTTAAACAATGTTGCAGTTATATGTTAAATGTAAATATTAGACTTGGTGCTCTTTTTAAATCTGTATTTATGATGAAACATGCTGCTCAATTTAAAAAGTATTTTAAAAATCATTTTAAGTTGCACCCTTATGATCACATCGCTACTTTTTGTGGATGATGTGGTCCTRTTGGCTTCATCAGATCCTGATCTCCAGCTCTCACTGGAGCGGTTCATATCTGAGTGTGAAGAGGTTGGGATGAGGATCAGTGCCTCCAAATCCGAGACCACGTTCTTGAGCCAGAAACGAGTAGGTTGCCATCTCCGGGTCAGGGAGGAGGTCCTGCCCCAAGTGGAGGAGTTTAAGTATCTCGGGGTCTTGTTCATGAATGAGGGACGAATGGAGCGAGAGATCGACAGGCGGATTGGTGCTGCRTCTGCAGTGATGAGGGCGTTGTACTGGTCTGTCGTGGTGAAGCGGGAGTTGAGCCAGAAGGTGAACGTCTCGGTTTTCTCTCCAGTCTATGTTCCTACCCTCATCTATGGTCACGAAATTTGGGTAGTGACCGAAAGAACGAGATCACGGATACAASCGTTCTAAATGAGTTTCCCCTGCAGGGTGTCTGGGCTCTCCCTTAGAGAGAGTGTGAGAAGCTCGGTCATCCAGGAGGGACTCAGAGTAGAGCCACTGCTCCTCCACGTCGAGAGGAGCCAATTGAGGTGGTTCATCTGGTTAGAATGCCTCCTGGACGCCTCCCTGGTGAGGTGTTCTGGACACATCCCACTGAGAGGAGACCCAGAGGAAGACCCAGGACATGCTGGAGGGACTATGTTTCTCAGCCTGGGAACACCTTGGGATTCACCCAGATGAGCTGGTCCAAGTGACTGGGGAGAGGGAAGTCTGGGTCTCTCTGCTTAGGCTGCTGCCCCCGCAACCCGATCCCGGATAAGAGAAAGAAAACGGACGGACAGAGGACCCGCGGTTCAAATAAACTTATTTGCAAAAATATTCTTTCTTTAAACTATAACTTACCATTAAAAAAATCTGGATAATTCATATTTGCTGTGCTGCAGCAAATACAGAAAAAATGGCCGATGGTCTGCCTTTGTTAATAAATAGTGAGCGAAATTAATTAATGGGGCCCACGTTATAAATAAAGTGTTTTAAACTTTAAATTTTTGGTAAAATATCAAATCTTTCAAGTAAACAGTGTCCAAGTCCAATTCAAGTCCCAAGTCTGAACATTTCTTCAAGTTAAGTCTAAAGTCAATATTAATGAGTCATGTCTGACTTGAGTCCCCACCTCTGCTACAAACATCAATAAACCAATATTCAATTTAAAGTCCTAGACCTCATTGATGAAATGTTTGTTGCCCGCCTCTTTTCATGCTACAGTTTTAAATAAAAATCATCTTATRACAAGAAGGAACCAAGCTGTAGCTGTTTTAGTCTAACCTATTTTATGATTTCATGTTCCTCATGCAACGYGAGATAACTCAGAGCTCAGATCACATGATGTAAATGACTCTCAGCTACAACAACTCCAGATTTTAGCTCAGTATCTGTGACATTGTTTGAGTTGTAGCCAGTTTTGTTTGCTAAGGTTACGTAGCTGTGGCAGCCATCTTGYATTTTTGTTGACTCTATAAGTTAATCAAATATAGACATACAAAAGTTTCCTTTCTGAGTTTTGTTAAATACTTTGTGGTTCAGGCAGTATTTTGCTAACAGACATATGGACAATCGATGGCATGCACACACGGACAGAAACATTATCGCCCTTCTTTGGCGCTGGATGATTTAAAAAAAAATGTTTGTTTTTAGATCACAAAGATGATGTCAAAACCTCACACATGAGGTAAAAGGTGAAGTTTCTAAACAAATACTTGTACGAGTCTAAATATGCARACGGTAGAGTCCCTGCAGACCTTAATGAGCTGCTTAATGGAGCTGATTGACAGAAAACAAAACTCCTCAAGCAGAGAGCCGTCAGTTGAAACATGAAACTCAGCCAAGAAGCTCATTTAACACAAAAGCCTGATTAAGCAGAAATTAAAGAGTAAGGCTATAAAAACAAATCTTCCAGGAACTWAAAATTGTCACAGTGGGAAACTTAACATAGGAAATAGTTGAGAAAAGAAAGAGAAAGAAAGAAAGAAAAAAAACAATGGGCAGAGACACGAGTGAAATTCTTATTTAAAAAATCTGTATCGGACAAAATAGGAAMCAGCACGTCAGGCTTTTTAAAGATTGGTGATCGACCAGAATCTGTGCACCCCTAAACATTTTGTCCGTCCTCTGCTTCTTGTTTTCTGCYGACAGGGGGCCCCTGAAAGCGTGATGGAGAGGTGCGAGTACCTGCGTGTGGGAGCAGGGAAGGTATCGATGACCCCGGCTCTGCGCGAGCAGCTCATGTGTAAGATCAGAGAGTGGGGGACGGGCAGGGACACGCTGCGCTGCCTGGCTCTGGCCACGCACGACAGCCCTCCACGCAAAGAAGACATGGACCTGGAAGACTCCACCAAGTTTGCCCAGTATGAGGTGAGAGAGAAAGGGATGGGCTACGTCTAGCTTATTACTATGTTAYTACCACTTTATATTTCTGATTAAAAGTTACTGGTTTTAGACAGTGGCAAGCCGTTCATTTTGCACCTTGGTGTCCTGCCTGAATTTAAACGGTCATTATAACRCTACAGCTACAGAAACCATGGATAATACACAGAAACTCATGTAGTAAATATGAAACTTATTACTGAAGCAAGAAACCCAATTAACCCAATTTAACAAGTTTCCAAAGTAAACAAAACATTTTATATGATTACAAACATCATCCGCCCCGTCCTCAAGAAGAGTTCAGTTCCTCTGTCATGATAACAAAAACAAACCAATTTTCATGTAAGATGCACTGAAACAGACTTTTTGTTTAGTATTATGAAGTCACTGAATGTTGTTTGGAGCATTCAGTGTCTGTATGTCTTTAAACGTAAGCTCAGCACTGAAGGACCTTTATTATGACAACTTGACATTTACATTACRCTGCGTGTGTTTTCAAAATAAAGAGGTTTTTACACTTTACTCCTTATTCTTGAACTGATTCACTGTCATGAAAAAGTAATAATGTGTATTTTTAATTGAAAAACGGTACAAACACAATTTATTTGAACCTAGTAGTAGTGGACAGCACTAATCCAAAAATTAGCTCCTCAATTTCTAAAGTGCTTATGAAAATATTTAGGTCCGCAATTAGCGGATTTGTGCTTTAACGGACTTGTGCCCACCA